GTAATTTGACCTTTCATCATTAGCGAGTTGCTTCAGAGTCATCATGGCCAAAAAGGGCGCGGCTTTTGTCCCGTAGGTAACTGTCGCTAACTGGTATTCTTTTAAAGGCTGAGATTGATGGTTCCGCCAAATAATTTTTTGATATTTCTGATCATCAGGATGTAGCCATATTTTGCGAAACATTTTTTCTATATCTGCTGTAAAAGCATATCTAAATTGTCTCCATTTCAAGATGAGGCTTTGGAGGTCTTGTTGCAAATTGGGTCCACGACACATAAGATCATTGAGGCTGTATCCACTCGAAGTTTTAGCAGAGGCGTTAAAGACAACACGCAACTTTGTAGTTGATGACTCAGCTCGTTGGATGCAATGATGCGATAAGTAGCAATCGGGCAGTTCATGTGGTGTGACTGGTGTCATATGTCCGAGCACTAGGTATTCTGAAATAAACGTTTTATAGTCACGTGCCAGCGACAGCTGTTTATTTAATTTCCGTTCTATTTGAAAAAATTGAGCAATCGATTTTGTTTTCGACTCTCCAATCTTTTCTTCAAAGTTTTCTTTGAACGGAATTTTAACAACATAGCTTCCATCTTGTCGTCTAGAGGTTGAAGATTGATAAAAATCCACACATTTTTTATCCTCCTCTGACAATGCTGAGGTTTCATGTATATCTTCCGTTTCCCAAAATCGCTGAATCTCTTCAATGTTATTAAGCACCACGTTACAGTGGTACGTCTTGGTGTTGCCGCTGAGGATCCATCCCAACTGGGTTTGTTGGGCAATGGTCAATATACCTTCTGATCGACAGATACCTTCCATGAGGATAGTGGAATATACATCTGCGCCAAATAGGATGTCAATAGGCCTACTTTTATAAAATTCGGGATCTGCTAAAGTTAATTGATTAATTATAGGCCAATCTGGCTTTGGCAAAGTATAACTAGGTAAGTTATTTATAAGTTTGTTCATGATATATACTTCGGTTTCAAAAGTGAAGTCACTTATCAACGACGAACATTTGATCGTGATTTTGCCCTTACAGTTATTCTCCTTATTTCCAATACCAGAGATATAACCATGACATCTACTTCGCGGTAGCTTTAATAACTGAGCCGCGCTTTCCCTAATAATGGATGTCTGTGACCCTTGATCTAAAAGAACTCTCATTTTTTGATAAGATCCGTCCACAGCTTGTACGTCGATTATTGCAGTAGCAAGCAATATTTCTGAAGGTTCTTTACGAGGTGATGAAACTTTGTTATTTTCTTGCTGTAGTTGATGAGAAGGCGTTTTGGAAATCGTTGCTGCATTTGACCCAGATCGATGAGGCGCAAATGCGTCATGTAAAATGGTGTTGTGTTCATTATTGCATTCTTTACATCTAATTTCGGACAAGCATTTTTTGCCGTCGTGATAGTGTAAACAATTAGTGCAAAGTTTTAAAGTGGTGATAGCATTTTTTCGTTCACTAGGTTGCAATTCCAATAATTTTTGACATGTATGAATACGATGATCATTAGTGTTGCAAAAAATGCACTGTTTGCGATAGCTAGTTTTACCTTTAGACTTTAACGATTGCGACACTTGATTTGTCGAGTAATTAGTTCTAGGGTTTTTAATAGGATATCTATTAGAAGATTTTAAAAATATTGGTTTGCTATTAATTTGCGATTGAGATGTTTTCGGCGTGGAGTTTTCAATCTTCTTACGTGACGTTTCCAGCATCATAAACTTGGTTTCTAAAAAGTTAAGGAAATCTTCCAAGACAGGTAGTTCTCTAGGGGATTTCAAGGCTTGGAGATAGTCTTCGTATGTATCAGAATCTAATTTTTGAGATAATATACATACTAGGAAAGGATCCCAGGAAGTTACGTCGACTCCCATGTTTTTTATTGCATTTACACTCTCAAACGCAGTGTCATGAATGCGTTTTATGTGATTAGAGGATTGTTGCTGGCTTACCGGGATATATAACATATTGTTGAGATAAGATGTAAAAATCAGTCGTTTATTATTGTAACGATGATTGAGGAGATTCCAGCATATAGGGTAATTGTCGGAGCTTATCGGTAGATGCTGAATTAGCTTTTCGGGTTCACCTTTAATTTTACTTTTTAGAAACTGCATCTTTTGCGCATTAGACAAGGAAGGATTGTTGTGCACAGCCTCGGTAAAAAGGTCTTTGAACGAAACCCACTTATTGTAGTTTCCCTCAAAAGTGCCTATCTCCATCTTAGGGGTAGATTTTTCAATATGTGCAACGGACCACATTTTCTTATTAATATCTTTTTTGAATTGGTGGTAATACTTCTCATAATGAGTAAATTGCTCTTCGTACTCGGGGTTTGATCCGCCGTACTCAGTGTCTAGCTCCCAATGAAGCGAGTCAATAGCTTCCCAACGAGATTGCAGGATCTTAAGGATGTCTTCAAATTCCCATTTTTCCGAGACAAGATCGAGGTCGATATTGGAGGTTGTCCTTAAGAAAGCCTTAAAGTTGGTAGCCTGTTTTTTAAACCGACTTTCGGCTTCATTACCGTCATGCACAGAGATTTTAGTGGCAGCAGGGGTAGAAGTAGAAGCAACGTTAGGCGAAAGATTTGAGGTCTGAGACTTAGTAGGTTCGAACGTAGGAGGTTTTAATACAGGGGTTTGCGGTCTGTTTGCGAGAGGTGTATAGTTTTCAATAGTACTTTTTATGAGCTTATATTTTTCAGTTATTTGATCATATTGATTAGTACTAAAATAGGTATGGGATTTATCACCAAAAGATAGCAGCGTCATGTGATTGTTATGGAACTCTGCATAATATTGTTCCAACGTGGCTAATCGACGGCGTAAGTAATCAGGGGTTTTACGCTCGGCACCGTCCTTTTTAAAATTGGAGTGCAGTCCGTTTATGGCTTCGATTAGTTGACGTTGAGTTGCTAGGATGTCTTCCATTTTGACACGGGAAAAAGATAAAAGAGACCTTACTTGTACTGAAGGCTTCTCTGGAGATCAAGTGTCCTCGCAGTGGCTGCAAGAACAAACCTGGATATCCACACGATGAGATGAAGCGGTGCGATGGCGCGAAGGGATGAGGCGATGATTTTTCAAACCAGGTTCAAACGGGATCAGCAGGATAGTGAGATTTTTTGGGAACTGTTTGCCACAGTCTGGTTAAAGTTCTAGGCGAGTCACTCACACAATTGTTCTAGTTCGTGAACACACGCGCGATAGTCCCAAATATCCGGCTCGAAGGACCAATGTTCGGGGTTGGGGTGAGTTCAAGATAAACTCTAGGATGTAGAATGAAAGATATATTTCGATACTAATGAGATAACTACTAAGTCTAATGAGGTGAATGAGATGAGATTGAGTAGCGTCCGTATTCACAATCGTACTGAACGTACTGAGCGTTTTTACCTAAGTAATACATAATATATTCATGACATATTGCGGTGTGTCGCAATTACGGTGACATGATTAGTATACTTAGCATATTACAATTATTTGTTCGGTGATTGACCCGAACAAGGCGAGGCGACTGATATACTAATTTTCACGTGTTTACTTTAACGAATAAATGTAGTCGAGTGTCGTTTGCGAATACACTGTGCTTAGCGATGTATGTGTTGATACATTAATGAAAACTTCCATACCTTTGTTAAACGCGTTTATCACATCAGAAATATTTTAATTTGATTGCATTTTCTACCGTCGTTATAAATTCAAAAATACCTTGTTTTGTAAAAAATAATCGTAGATATTAATGAACGTCGTAAGACATACTGAAATAACTAAAAATTACGAGTTACTCACGAGAATATGCTGAGAAAAGCTAGTTCTCAGTATATTTACCTAATTCGTAATAATTATAGATTAGACGGTAATGTACCATTATTAAAATATTTCAGTTGTGATATAAAAAAAGACGTAGTCAAATAATTACTATTAACAGTCATGTCGATTCCTCAAATTAAACTTCCAACTATGCTTCAGCTTTATCATCGTCATCATATTTATAAGCCAAAAAACATCTATTGTTGTACATAGATATAAGGATAAATCAATACACCACGGACTTACCTTCTCCATATTAACATTTTAAGTGTTGGGAGATCTATGCTTCGGTACGAATGGGCCGGTTCGACCGGAGTGATACCATGGCCTCACAGAAAACCGACGTGAAGCAACGCTTGCGTTGTGTTTCGTCGTGTGAGTGAGGTTACCGGAGACCAATTATCCCCTCCCCCGTTCCCCAATCTCTGAATACCCCCAACAATCCTTAAATTCCTAATCTCCTAAAGTTCGGTAATGCACTTGTAACGCCTCTGGTGTTCCGGGTGCCGGGCCGGTTCAGCTAGTATTATAATGTAATTTCTGTTGACTCAATACTTCTTGCCTATCGTTTTAATGTACATATTTACATAATTTTGTTTAATTTGAAAATCCGACATTGACTAACAAACAAGTGTTCCATGAAAGTATACAATTAATAACAAAAAAAAACACAAAATATTATTTAAAAAATGTTGTAAACTTACCAGGTTGTGTGTTATTGAGTATGTTGTTGTGCAGGCCGATGTCTGGCTGTGGGTACGATTGCTGGTTCAGTAATCCGAGTAGGTTAGGCCCGGAGAGGTTTTGCTGCTGACTGTACAAAAATATGAATTTGTTTGTTGTTTGTATACAATGCTCCAATTTCATTTACATACTTAATTGCATATTGTATTTTAACCACTTCTTTAAGAATGTATTATTCCAAAACAATTCTAAATAACAATAAAAATTTAAACTATGTCTACTAAGATAGTACAAAAATAATTGACACAGATAAGATATAAAATAAACGAAATAGTCTTACTTCATAATATTTTGCTTCAACAACATCCTCTGTATATTCTCAGCATTAGGCATCGCGTCGTTAGCCCCCGGAGTGGGGCCTGACATGGCCAGCCCGACCCCTTGCAGCCCCATGTTCAAGCCGAGCTCCCCTCCCACGCCCATTGGGGTCCCGACCTGACTCAACCCCAATAAGGGGGTATCTGTGGCTATTTGCAACGGAGTTGTTAGGTTAGGTTGTACATTAGAAGAGTTTAACATAGGATTAATAATATTTTGAGCAGGCACTTGTTGCACGCTCGAAATATTGGAGACTATTGGGGGAAGAACCATAGTAACTGTTACTGGCACTTCTTGCTTCATTTCTATTGGCCTTTCTATAGACTGGACTTCGGGTCTTAGATCTACGGGAGGCTGAATCTGTGGTGCCACTGAATACTGGTGCGTAGGAACAAATTCCTGAGGGGGTAGCGGGGCAGGTTCTTTTTCTGGGAGACCGTTGACTTGAGGTTCTAAATGTTCCGCGGGTTCGGGTATTGGTTTTTCTTCTGGGACATTCTCCCCGCGGTCGACTACGGGGCTGACTAGAAATCGTGATATCTTTCGAGTTGGCTTTTGTTGTTTCTTTTCGCCGCTCTGGGATTCCGTGCTGCCAGACCGCTCGGGCGCCATCGACCCGCCGTCCGATTGATTAGAACCTGCGTTGAAATGGAGATGTTTCAATAAACAGTCAATCTGGAAAACTTTCATTAAGATCAATTTAAATACTGATGAAAAAAGAACCTACATATTTATTTTAACTGTAATACTATAAAAAGATTAAACATTCAACTATTTCATAGCTATATTATTATAGTATTATCTAACCTATAGACGAGGCAGTGCTAATTTTCCTGGCGACGGTGTCTCCATGCGGTGCATGGGGCAGCGCAGGGGCGGGGCCCGACTGCGCGGGCGCGGGGCCTGGTTGTGCAGGGGCGGGGCCTGGTTGCGCGGGGGTGGGGCCCGGTTGCGCGGGGGCGGTGCCGAGCTCAGGCTCGGGCTGGTCGTAAGCGAGTTCGGCTGCGATGTTGTCATGGCTGGCCGTCGGCGTCGTACACTCCGAGTTATCCTGGTTAGAATCCGTCAGGTTTTCCTCGCGTTCAGTCGTTTCGGAATCGTAGTCAGTCTGGAATTGATAAAAATAGATAACTTTAATTCCACGATCACAATTTAATTAGTCACAATGACGTTTCATGGTTTCATCAATACATAGTATAAAACAAAGTCGCTTTCGCTGTATGTCCGTATGTATGCTTAGATCTTTAAAACTACGCAACGGATTTTGATGCGGTTTTTTTTAATAGATAGAGTGATTCTTAAGGAAGGTTTGTATGTATATACATATTGCACCCGTGCGAAGCCGGGGCGGGTCGCTAGTTTATAATAAAACACGTTTCGCATAGTGGTTTTCACACGACGGTTTTATTTCTCAAAAAGACGGCCATAGAGTAATGCACTGATAACTTTATCATTCAGTCTAGCCATATTGCATTAAAATACTACATACTAGCTATTCTCGATTACACCATGACTATCATGTGGTATATAATATAGTTATCCATTTGCACAGTATTAAGACATACGTTTATCGGTATAAGGTCCAGGCGATGAAATCATAACATTAAATAATAATCAGAAGACTACAATAGTCAGAGGTCGAGGTTAATTTCAGTTTCAAGCCATGCTAGAGGCTCAGATTCAGTAGCAGCGCGACAGTCGCCGTCGCGTCCTATGTCGCGATATGCTATAGGTATTTGCAATTCTTCCTTCATAATACGTTACAAGAACGTACCTACCTAACTAAATCATACAAATTCAAATCGGAAATCTCGCTGGAGTAAGTTTCCATGTATTGCTTATGTGTTGCTATTGTAAGGTGTTTCTTCCTTCTAAATTTCTGTCTGTTCCTTTTTTCTTTGTCTCACAGTGTCCCACTGTGACCTTTGGACCCGGCAACGTGGTGCGAGCTCTGCTAACGCTTGCCTTGTGTCTGCGATTCCAAGATTTTTGTTCCGCATTAGACCTCGCATCGCAACTATCTACCTGGCGGCGAGTGGAAGACCAGACCTCCTCCTAGTTGGGAACTACCTTGGTCCTACCGAAGACCTGGAAGTGTAATTGTGAACGAGACCGGACCGCCGGCAGAGCTACTGTACGGTGAACCGTCAGAACTGAACTCAGCGTACCTATTACCCCCAACCTGGACGTGATTGGGGCAACAGAAAATTGGCATAAACAGAGTTAACAACCTTCTACCAAATAGTGTACTTTATTTGGACCCCTACCTACCTACCTGCCGGCCACCTGACTACTAAAGGGAAATCAGGTGCCGCATAATATTTAAAAGGCTTACCTTGTCAATATTGAGCCTGAGTGCAGAGTGGTGCGCGGGGTTGAGTACGGGGGTGACTCCAGGGTTGGTAATGAGCTGGTTCACGATGTCTTTGATCAGCTCCATGAACGTAGCGCTCTGCCATTCTGGGAGTAAGTTGTTTGACACCTGCACGCAGTACATTCGAATTTAAACAGAGCCTAAATTGTAATACTGATAAACACAGGTATAATGACAACGATAGTCGACACAATCTAAGAGGTCAACTCTGATAGCTGTCATGCGTAATGAGAAGTAAATAATTGCGGGAACCGAACCCATGTAGCTGCCCAGTCACTGAGCTAACTGTGCAGTCAAATATCAAATTAAATAGCTTAAAATATGTTCAGGGGTGTTTCTATCTAGGCCCAACAATATCCCCAAAGACCTGCGGTCCGACATTTAAAACTGTCAAACACCGTTCGGTCACCGGTGGACGCAACCTATCGTTCTTTAATTGTGACGGTACGCAACGAGTTAATAAAAAAAATCACAAAAACTCACAAGGTTACTAGCAATCTCCTCAGGATTGACGTCAGTCACGTCAAACTTGAAGGTGACGGTCTTGGATTTAGACTCAAGCTGGCACTCTACCATGGTGGCTGCCTCATTCACCTCCAGCACCGTCAGTTTCGGCAGCTTGTCCTTCTCCCGAGAACGTTTCTTCGAGCCACGGGACTTCTTCTCGCTTGTTATTGGAGATGATATGGCCGTACCCACTGGAAGTCATACCATCACACATCACCAAGTTACAAGGTTTAGATATTATTATGTTATCCGCCACCGCCCGTCGGCGTCACGAATATGAGGTAGGAGCATCAAAGCGTTACATAGAAAATTTAAGTAGATAGTATCCGAGTTACTGGGGTTTATGGTTTGTTTGTTGTGACAAGAAATGCTACATACATTTGATCACAATAGTTAAACACAAAGTAATAAAAACAACAATTTCGATATCTCACCTTCCTGTTGCTGAATCTCCGCCTGTTTCTCCTCAACAGAGCTGAGCTCAGGCTGTTTGATAGCCTCGGCGTGGTTCGTCGGGAACTCCGTCAACGGAGTGTGGAATTGCTCCTTTTGTCCACCGTTACTCTGGTACCCATTCTCCACTTGGTCTGCTGGAAGGTTCAACTGCTGAGGCTGTTGTACAAGGTCCGGTGGTAACTGGACTTGCTGCTGGAGAGGCTGGGCATGAGGAACCGGCGTAGGTTGTGGCTGAGACTGAGGTACCGGTTGGGACATCTGTTGAATCTGAGGCTGTATCGTCTGGACTTGTTGTATGGGCTGTAATTGTTGTTGTTGCGGAACTTGCGGCTGCTGGATGGGGAGTGGTACTGAGTGCATCGGCTGGGGCACGGACATGGGCACCTGCACCGGCATCTGCTGCGGCATCGCGTCCTGGACCGACTGCATGCCGGCCGCCGCAGACGAAGGTATGGACGACTCCATCTGGTTGGTCTGATACATGTTCTGCATCATCACGGGCTGGCTCTGCGCCGGCTGGTACATTTGCAAAGGATTGGCGGAATAATTCTGCACCGGGGTGCCTTCATGACTAGATATCTGCCTCTCGTTTTGGCGTACCATACCGAAGTTGTGGTGCGGCATGGACTGGCCCTGCATGCGGTCCACGGACAGCTGGTGCTGCAGCTGCGGCCGCGGGTATGGGTCGGGCTCGGAGTCCTGGCGGCGGCAGGCGCGCTGGTCTAGCTGCTCCAGCAGCGTGCGGCGCTGCAGCAGCGTGGCCCAGTCGTGTGCCAGCGCGTCCTGGCGAGCGTGCAGCTGCAGCGCCTGCTGCGCCAGGTAGTGCTGCTGCGGCTGCAGCGCGCGCGCGTGGTGCGGCGCCTGCTGCAGATGTTGCTGCAGCGCCAGCTGTTGCTGCGCCAGGACCTGCTTCTGCACGTCCAGCTGTTGCTGCGCCTGCGCGACCTGCTGCTGCGCCTGCGCCACTTGCTGGTGCTGCGCGAGGTACGTGGGATCTATGTTCGGTTGCTGCGACGGTTGCGAGAACTGCTGGCCGTGTTGGTAGTTGACATTCTGTTGCTGCAGCTGCGAGTTTACCAGGTTCTGCATCTGTAGCAGCGCCTCTTGTTCCTGGTTCTGTTGCATCTCGACGTTCTCCGTCGGTTGTTGTGTCATTTGTTGCTGTTGTTGCTGCTGTTGCTGAGTTTCAGATTCCGATTCCTTCCTAGATTGTAGCGTGTCGGGTCTTTGTATGATTTGTGATAAAATAGTTTGCAGGTTCTGTAAGGAGGGATCTAACATTTGACCAGTGACGAGATTCTGGGGACCTGCAATCATATTGTCTTGCGCTGTGAGTTGTTCTTCGAGTTGTTTCTGCTGTATGGCGGCGGCTTGCTGAGCAATGATAGTTTGTTGTTGCTGTATTATTTGTTGTTGTAACACCTGGTTCTGAGTATTGATCTCGGCGGTTAACTGTTGGTTCAAGAGGTTCGGCTGCCACTGTGTCTGTGAAGGGACTTGCTCAAGGAGGTTTTGTTGAACTTGCTTCTCCATTAGAACCTGGCCTTGGACTGACTGTTCCAGCATTTGCTGGTTGATGAGATTCTGCTCCATCATTACCTGGGAGAAGATTAACAACAAAATTTGAAAGGAGGAAATCTAGTCCTCATGCGATGGGTAATTAAATGCTATGGTAAAGTGTACAGTAACATGCTCTATGTGTAACAGTGTCCTGTGTGAGCAATGAATACACCGCAACGTCGTGTTACGGAATTTGGTTATTCAGCTTGAATTAGAACTATATAGAAGTACATTGTGCTTACAGCACAGCCTTTAAAGAAGGATGATAATAATGACAAACCTGTTGTTTCAAGTTTTGTTCAAGAAACACCTTGTTCTGTAGAAGCTGCTGGTCGGCAGCCATGGAAGGCGATATCCTAGCCTGCATGAAGTTCTGTTGCAGAAGCTTCATGGCAGCGTCCTCGTTATTCAGCTGCTGGATCTGCTGCTGGAGCAGTTGCTGCTGACACTGAAGGAGCTGCGATTGAGGGTCCAGCCTGAAGATGCAAGTCTATAAGTATACGTTGACTGCTGAGTGCACAACACGTTAGTGGACTAAAATGTACACATCATTAGAAAAAATGGTTTTAAACTGTCACTTTATCCCAGTATTTTAGCACCAAAATTAAATGATCTAATAATGGCAAGAGTAAAGTAGAGTAGAGTGAAATGTGGGAGTGCCATGCTTCGGCACGGATGAGCCGGCTCAACCCGAGCAATACCACGGCGCCACAATCTTGCGTATCCCCAATCCCCGACATGCCCATGTCCATGGGCGCCACCGGTGGTCTACCATGACCTGTATACTAGTTTCCCTTCCTATTCCATAATAGTACTTACTGCACGCCAGCGAGAGGCTGCGACCCGACTCCGTTGAGAAGCCCTGCGGTCACCTGGTCCACGGGTCCTGCTTGCTGCTGATTCTGTATCATCTTCATCTGCTGTATTAGTAATTAAAAATAACAAATAATTAACAAAAATTCATTTATCTAAAACTCGTGGCGTGATGATTTAAAGCCTTCTAAAAAAAAATATCTTATACTATTATATAAAGTATTATATAAAGCGGAAGAGTTTGTTTTTTTGTTTGTTAGTTTGAACGCGCTAATCTCCGTAACTACAAGTCTGATTTGAATAATTATTTTTGTGTTGGATAGTGCATTTACCCAGGATGGCTTTAGGCTATAAAATATCACTCGCTGAGCAGATCGTTTGAAACCGCACGGAAGTAGCTAGTAATAAATAAGTAAGTAAAAGTATAAATCGCAGATTACCTCTTGACAAACGTTTATTTTATTGCACCGAAAACAACCCCGTAACTAAATAATTCATCCGATCCGGGAACCGAACCCGAGGTCCGTTGTTCGATAGTGGCACTTGCGCCCCAATCCATAAAAGGTTACATATTATAGGCATGGCGACTATTTTTTAATTTTTTGTCCGTCTTTTAGATATTTTAAAAATCTTCGATACCTATTTTTTCTTTTTTCTCGTATCCAAAAATACATGTAGATATTTTGAGTTAAAATGACGCGTGACGTCACAATTAGGTACGATTTCTCCGTAAGTGTGACGTCAACACCCCCCACTCCCTAACTTTAATGCGGAATAACTACGTATTCTTCTGTTAAATTGATAAAACCAAAAATACATGTCTGATATTTTCGTGCGATCTTAATGACGGACTAATTACTTTTTTGATTTTTTTACCCTGTCGACACGCCTATTGTAAGCAAGTACAACAGCTAACACATAGGACCCATTTAGTTTTAGTAAAATTTTCGTGGTGCTTGATGACTGCTTTCCCGATTCGTGCAGTATCTTTTGTGCCTTTAGGCTTAAGTCATTCTTGTTTCTGCATAAATACACCGAAGGAAGTGAAACTACCGTTCTTTTTCCTTCTCTATTATTATAATCTGATTTATTTCATTGCGGGATTCAAGACGGTTATTTATGTCCCTGGGACGCTTTTCACAATTTATGTTATGAGTCATCTTATAGGGAGTGAGCCTACTGCCATATACCAGGCACAATTCCAGACTCCGTGTTACTCCTGACATTTTTTTTAAAACCCAGTAAAATTTTGCCCGACCTGGGAATCGAACCCGAGACCCCTTGCCCGGCAGTCGCACTTGCGACGACTCGGTCAACGAGGCAGGCGAATTTGTCCCTAACCCATAAATGAAAGATGTTTGAATTAGGCTATCACTGACCTGCCTTAACTGTTGCTCATATAGTTGTTGCCTGTTCTGTTCGATGATCAGCATCTGAGAATTTTTCTCCTTCCTCTCTCTGTAAGAGCGATATAACATTATGTAGCAAATTCCGCTTAACTGTACTGACAGTCGCTGAAAGACGCCAATGTTCAACGGTCTTCTAACAGGATAATGATGATAAAAACGAATCAACAACAAAAATGGCCTGTCTACATTATAATTATTGTTTAAAACACAATTAATTACACACACATACATACATACAAGATACGCCCGAAAAACAATACCCTTACTACAATCCAAATACATTGTCCAAAAAATCCCATCATTCTGAGTAAAAGAAAGTAATTGACTGAAACTCGGAACTCTCTATCTCTTAAACCACATATTTGAGTTCTGGTCCTTTAACACAGCACTTTTGACTATAATTTCAATCACATGCCGAAAGAAAAAATCAATTCCAAATTTTAAAATAGATATCTAGATCTGTGTTATTACTGAAAATCAGTATTATTTAACCACATAGCTTGCGAAGCGAAAATAAGAGGCACTGTCAAACTCACTCTGTCTCACTCACTGTGAGTCAAAGTCAAAGCATTTATTTCAATTAAACCATAGTTTGGTACTTTTGAAACGTCAACAAATACAAAATAAATAATAGTCTGCCAGTCAGTCCGTCAGTGAAATTAGGTGAAGCTAGGTGCTCATTCCAAAATGTAGATTCAAATGGAGAAGAACGAGCAAGAAACTCCATTCGTTACTCTTTTTTTTAAAAAGTATGTTCTACAATGTCTCTGATACATATTTCAATACTGTGCGCATATGTAAGAACAATGCAAACAGACGCTTGACGTATTATACTAATAACTTACTAAAATAAAAAAATAATAAAAATCTTAAGTCTAACATGGTGTTCACATATGCATACTGACAATCCATAGAAATAGTGCTTCTATACAAGAAAAAGGAAACTCTTTGTTTCAATAAAGAAAGAAATGCTCGATGCCATAAAGAAACTCTTCTCCAACTACTCTCTCAAGACATTTTAAATAACAAATAATAAAAAACAGACAAACGACGCAGTCCTTTCACACACACAACTATAAAATTGAATATAACCTAACACAAACTTGAACACGCATTAAATAAAGAAGAAAATAATCGATAGCATGTAATAAACAGCTATAAATTTTATTAAATAACCTTCGTCTAAGGAAACTGGACCAATTAAGCTTAACGGAGCTGAAACTGAAGTATTAGCACGCAAGGTCATTCCATACTACGTACAACACTCGTACCAACTTGGATACTGTTGCCATGATTACCGGACTAACAGATTTCGTATCGAAGTACTTTTTTAAAGATTTGTTGAGGCTAAACACAATACTACACAGGTATTATACTATATCTATCTTTTTTTAACGGGGGAAAATCATCGACTGACTTCTCCCGCCTACATGAGGCGGGAGGGAGTGTCAGACTCATACTGACTAAAAACCACCCCGTTCCTACTCCTGCACTTCGAGCCGGAGCCCCGGTAACCCGTTAAGTTCTCCGCGGACCCATCTCTGGTGGTGGTCATCGGACCACCACCACAGATAGAGCTATCAAGCTCTTTGAGGCGCGCGCGGAACGCGACGCGCCGCACGCTCGAGTTTGGTTCTGGTCGGGCGAGCTATCCACGCTTGCCGATTTGACTGCGATTTTTATTATTTAAAATTATAACATAACACAACATCCCGCCTTTTATTCTCGGAGGGGTAGGCAGAGGTGCACATTACGGCACTTAATGCCAGTGTACAATGTTATACCTACTTTTCACTATTTATGTTATAAGTCCAATGTTATAGGGGGTGAGCTTATTGAAACTGAATAAAATTATAATGGTGACTACTATACAGGTTGGCTTGTAATTCGACGTATTCCTCTCGGGAGGTGATAATACAACTACTTTCCTACAAAATTAGCCCTGAGGTCTCTGGTCCGAAAGTGGCTAGTTTCTGCTAGCTTTCTATATTCAACATTTTCGGTTTTGGTAAAAAATCCCGATCGAGTTACAAAAACATCAATATATAAAAACCCTTCTGGTTTAATTTAAGCGATTTTTTTGTAAGTTAAGTTTGTTTTGTAAGTGTTAATTTATTCAATACATCAATTAATAAGAAATTATTTTTCTATCGATTGGAAGAATACAAGATAAATATTGATAAGCTGTAATAATAATTGCAAGAAAGCTATACATTTTTAGGTGGACTGCTTAAATAATTTTGTGTGACGTAATACTTTCTTGTATTAAACAGTCGAAATACTTTATTTCTGATTAAAGAAAGTACCCAATTGAATAGCCTTTCAGTGTTCGGGCGACAGTATCCTTAACACACAGTTATAATATATTATATACATTTAATCCGATACGTTAAGAAATTATTGTGTTTAACACGTCCGCATTGAAACATAGCTGTAACTCTATTTACTAAGGCAATATACGAGTTTAATGACAAAATGTAAATAAAGGAGATAGTAGACTCGAAAACACATCGAGAATACTTTTCTAGAAACGAATAATGAACGTAATAAAAAAAATACCAAACATAATCTCACTTTAATCCTATCGGTGTTTAAATAAAACACTTTCACGAAACACAAATAACAACTTTCACTGTCACTTATCAAAGACACTGTCGCTGTATTAACAAATTGTTTAGAAACATCATTTTAATATACTATACCGATTGAAATAATTAGTAAAAAATACAAAACTAGCGTTATCTTTGATATGAAGTCGGTAACGAAGCGTGTGACGACGCGGAACGCGCGCGTGTTGTGACGGCCGGCAGCCGACAGTTAAAATAATAGTGATATTGCTACAAACAAATATACGGGCATCATCATTCGTTGCACAGATAAGGAGACCGCGTGGGACGGGGTTTGAGGAGAAAGACATATTACAGGTTCGAAAAGTAATATGGTACCTAATAATTTTATAAATGATTACTAACGCGACAAATAAACTAAAACCCTTTGAGTACCGTCATTATAGACACAATTAAAGAACAATAGGTTGCGGTCACCGGTGTCCTCGCGGTGTTTTAAATACAGTTTAACAATGTAATCTTATACTATTATACAAAGCGGAAGTTTGTTTGTTAGTCTGTTTTTTTGTTTGTTTGTTTGAACGCGCTAATCTCCGTAACTACAAGTCTGATTTGAATAGTTCTTTTTGTGTTGGATAGCGCATTTATCGAGGATTGCTATAGGCTATAAAACATCACGCTACGACCAATAGGTGCTGAGCAGAGCGTATGAAACCGCGCGAAAGTAGCTAGTTATTAGAATTCACGGATAACAATAAGAAATATAATATAAATAATTATCAAATAATCATAAATCATGCATGTATTTCATTTATATGCATATATTTTTGACATACTATCATGTATGTTGTGTGATGGTTGATATATGGAACAGTCAATCATTGGGTTGTCAGATTGTACAAATAGTATAGTATACAATAGAATCGAAGATCTAGTAATTAATTCATCATTTATTGAATCAAATGCATGAATGTATTGTGACTTTATATGTAGATTAAAATAATTTCCAAAAATCAGACGATCGTAAAGAATAAAGTGCGCTTTGTAGCAGGTTATACCGGTTCTGATTCACAGTGCATTGGCTTTACTTTCGCATTCATATTTGCGGTGACGCGACGTTCAATATACCTTTTAAATTAATGATGGTTATTCATGGTTGCATAGTGTTTGGAGAGGCGAGTACAATTTATTTTATTTGTGTTCTAACTTTCGAGACATCCTTACTAATATTATTAATCTGAAAATGAGTTTGTTTGTTTGTTCCACTTTCACGCCGTAATTCTACTGAACCGATTGCTTTGAATTGCAGACGTAAAGTTAGAAGTCCGGATTAAATAATGGGGTACTTTTTAACCCGGAAAAATTTGATATTCCCGAGGAAAAACAAAAGTATTGGTATAGATGGCGCTGTGTGTATTGTTATATGTCACATAGGCTACTTTTTATCCTTTTGTGACGCGAGCGAAGCCGCGGGTAAAAGCTAGTACATAATATGTTCCCTGCTGCTCTCGCCTCACCCAGGCGGGACCAGTCAATCGATGATTTTCCCCCCTTAAAAAAAAAAAAATACATAATATGTTAGTAGTTTGAAGCCATGCTAGCTCATATTCATGAGCACCATTCCGCGACCCGCGACGAGGCGACTGTCGCGATGCTACTGAGCCATGCTAAACATGGCTTGAAACTAGTCGAAGTTCCTCGTCAAATAATTACGTGAATAAGCCGAAAGACTTAATAAACAATGTATTTTATTGAGTATTTATTAAATACCAGAGTCTAGTTTGGTCGAACGAAGAACGTCTTTTGGGGCCTTGGTAGAGTTTGTTTTACGTTTAAAGTAATCGAAACGAGACCGCGTTCGGCGCTCTGATTGGTTGGTTCGTTGGAGCCGGCCAATCAGAACGCATACGCGTAAAACAAACTCGTATTAAGTCGTCTGGTTGATGATCACAAAGATGGTGATGATAATTAACAATGTTAAGCTTTATGGGATAAACGGACAAGGAAGTAGACGGATCACCTGATGGTAAGCAAAACACCAAAAGAGTTTCAAAGGCATTGCCGGCCTTTTAGGGGATTAGGAATTTGAGGATTGGGGATTCAGGGATTGAGAAGATATTTGACCTCTGGTAACTTCTGGTAACCTCAGTAACACGGCGAAACACAATACAGGCGTTTTTTCACACCGCTTGTATGAAGTCGTATTTTGAACTTAACATTAAAGAAGTATCTAACACAGAGTCAGTAAACTTAGCGTCGTCGATATAATATTTTTTACTCTAGGGTGAGTTACTGAATCATAGATTTTTTAAACTTATTATTGGTTATTCTTACAACTGCATAGCATAAAATTGAAATTACACAAAACTATAATTTACTTACGAATTCTTACATGGCCTTGGTATTAAAAAACAAAATGTGTTATCTTGATAAAATAATCGCAACCTTGAGCGAAATTATTATCTTGCATTGGAGTTTACCC